TACCGCTTAACGTTGCAGTGTTATGCGTTTCAGAAAAAAAAATTATAATAATTATTATTATACTCTCTGCACGTGGTCCACAATAATTATATTTTTTACGCCGTAGATGATAATTATACTTAAATTGTTATTACTATTGCGCGCTTTGGTAGTCTGTCGTCATTTTGCGTTTATTCCGATCGTGAACATATATCGTTTTGAATTTCGCGTCACAAAATTGAACGACTTGATGGACGATGGACATAAACCATAATCATTTATTAGGTACAAATACACTATTATTGCCTATACCCGACATCTTTGTTTCACTACAACAATAACACTATCAGAACTGCCTCGAAAACATGATACTATACATTTAACTGACATACAATAATTGTAATAAAATTTGTTTTATCGTTATAACCGTTAAAGAATTTTGAGTTTTTATGTTACAGTTTAACAGCCAATTATTCGCAAATTGAAACAATACATTGTTATTTGCTCGCAACATCGATAAAAAAAAAAAAAAAAAAACGGAAAAAGTACATAACAAATAAATAATAATGACCAGTAAATAAAGTATAATATATAAACCGACAGAAGTCAATTATTTATCTAGAGCACATTTTCTTATGCGAATAAAAAGTACTTTTAGTCTAAATAACAGCTGAGATTAAGAAATTCTATAGCTATAATATAATATATTAACAAAATGAATAGAAATATGTATATATATATATATATATTACAGTACATCGTGAAAGCGGCGGCGTTGTAGTATACATGTTAGATTGGCATTTTCAATTAAACATAGGGTCTTTTTTTTTCCTCCCTCCCATTTTGCCAGTGACCTTTCTCGATAAGACTCATCTGATGGGAACACCGTATTTTTAGTCGTGTGCCGGATAAATAATGGATTTAATAGGACTGATGAGAGACAACGAACCCATCAGCGTCGTCGTCGTTTGTAAATAAAAGATTAATAATGGAATATTAAGACGACTCGAAAATAAAAAATAAAACGAAAATATCACACCGGCGACGGGAACAGACTCTCCCTCTGTGTGTRTGTGCAGCTGTATATAGGTTTATAATATAGTTAGCTAAAAAGATCGTTTATATTATTATACGTACGATAAACAGAGAGAGCCGTCTTATAATAAAACAAGCTGCAGCGGGCAAACGTCCCATAGAGATTTGCCATCGCCAACTCAATCCGTTAAAGAAAAAGAAAAAAAAAGTGTGGGTGGGACAAATGCCTGTGTCATCAGCGTGTGTGTGTGTGTGTGTGTGCCTTCCCCTTAACGACGCCATGGTTTTTAAACCTCCGGAACCTTTAGTGCTGTTGTTGTTTTTTATATATATATATATTCTTTTCTGTTTTTTTTTTCGTATTTTCGTTTTTTTCCTTATTCCACTCACTATTATTATATTTATACACTGGATCAGAATTTCAAACAGGACACTATATAGTGTCCGACACTCGACAATCGTTGTCGACGAAAAAAAAATTCCACACAGAACACTCTGAAAATAAGACCGGGCTGCTTAAAAATATATTATACTTCTAATTTCATGTTGGTTTTTTGTTTTGAGCTTTCAAAAATGGGAACACTCTATAGAAACCTTTTGGCTCCGATTCCATACCGTTTTTGCATACAATTATTATATTATAATATATAAATATCAAACTTTTTTGAGTGTGGCATTTCGACTTACAAAGTACCTACCTTTTTTTTAAAAACATATGCACCGTATTGTGGTACACTTTTGTCGCCATGCGCATTTGAAAAACCTTTGACCATCAACTAATGATTGCGATTCGGATGCCTTTTGTAGACAAATATCGCCGTCGTCATGCATAAAGTGACCGAGTGAAATAACCAAATGTGCYATATGAACCATAAATTRTTGTACGGAAAAAATGRCAAAGTGAWATTGGTCAATATCTAACGAGATATAAAAAAACAGTTTCGACCAAATGCAGATTTCTAAACTATTTTTCTAACAAAAAGTCACCAAGTTATTTAGCCATTTGTTGCATGTTTGATATGTACAGTTGGTCATAAAAAATTATTAATAAATAATAATCACAATAACTAATAATCTTCATCTGGGACGTCACTGAGCGCATTAAACTTTTCTACACATATTTTAAACTAAATTGTCGAATGGTGTGGTTCAATATATTATTATCTTATCTTTTGATTTTTATCATAAAAACGATAACGGTAACAATTAATATCGTATGTTATCTCCTCCATTGCCGGTCATCTACCTAACGATGGCTATAAATGCCATACATTATTGCCGAAACCTGACACGAGTATTCTATGCATAAATAAATAAATATTATTATTATTGTAAATTCGTGTGGTTTACATCATTATTAAAGAACATATTTAGGATTTTCATGGTAAAACTAATTGTTTAATAAAATTACGTATTATTACATGCATTAGTATAATGTACGTAATAATGTATACATTACAGCAAACATAAATAAGCGTACGACTGTCGTGGTAAATTGAACTGTTWTTCCACAGTAAGACACACAATTATAGTTTTGTCGGCCAATAGTAAACTTTTATGTTATTTTTCTCCGGTCCCTTCTAATTTGAAACTTCGCGCATTTATATGCAATAATGTGGTACCACCGATGCCACTATGCAATACGCGACGACGTTTACGAGTCAAGTTTTCAACGACCTGCCTATTTMTTTCCCGAGTGGATATTTAGAGTATTTTAGATTATTGTTTTCGTTGGACGTTGTCGTCCTGAAAATATCGACGAACGTATCGAACCGCTAGGTTAGGTAGTTTATTATTTATGAACGTTTGAAGTTTAGTTAAAAGCCAAAAGAGTTGAGTGCCCGTGAAGCAATAATTACATACCACGTGGCACRTACATGTCAATAATGATATTAASTATCGGTTCAACGTTTGATACCTATTTTTGGCTCAACCTTTTCAAAAAATTRWTTCGRTTTGATTATAATATGTGCTACGTTGTGCTGCTACGATATACGTTTAGTGATTTTAAKCTAACACACGCGCCCAAATAAGACTCGAAAATTATYACAAAAAAATAATAATAATAAACAATACCATATACAATACCGTAACGAATTCTAATAACTTTACGTGGAAAACACCTCTCGTTTCGAACGCACTTTTTCCCCTCGGGTATACCCAAAAATAATTTTTCCGGAACGTTGTAATATTGCATGTAGGTACCTAAGTATATTATCAACGGCGAACAAATAATATACGAAATTCGAATATTATGTTTAATTCGGGTATTTCACTGCATTTCGGCTTTTAACGCTCGATAATCCGATATAATTTATAACAAATGCGGTTTCGGGATTATGCGATTCGCGCGATAGAAACATCATAAAACAAAGTACGGAGATGATAATTTATGGCTTTTTAATTATATGCGAATAACACCACTTATTTA